ATTCATGTGAATGTGTGTGAAAAATTTCATTTTTCTGAAAAGGTGGTGTCTATTTACTTGTGACCACGCTGTGTACAACAAACTCATCACACTTGTAGTTCTCTCCTTGTCAAATGTCCATTAGGCCTATTCAATTACTTTAGAATTTCAGTTGCCAAGCCAAACTATCTTCTCTATTACTACCTCCATAGTATTGTGTGTATGATTCACTTACAGTTTTGTGGTGGGAGTTACCATAATCGTTTGGTCTTCTTTCTTCTGAAGATCCTTTGTTCCTTTTATCAAAGTGCACTCAAGTTGATTCAATTACCTTATAAACATGCTTTGATGGAATAAATTATTTTTCTTATCTTCTTTTCTACTGTTAATCTTACCCTAACAAATTAAACGTTAGGCCTATCACTTCTATGGTAGTTAACTTTTCTTTTTGTAACTTTACTTTCTTCTGCTATTATCTGTCTGCTTTTAACTCTTATTATAACAAAAACTAAACAATAATAAAATATTCACTTAGAAAAACAAATCAATCAATAACATCTAAACATTCATGATGTTAGAAAAACACATAGGTTCAAAAAGTCTTGATAGAAATGAATAAAACCCTATAACCTGAAGGCTTTTCATAGGTCCACTTTTCAAAAGCACTCGGGTTATAGGAGTTTTATTCATCTAAACTAAACAGTCTTTTATATCAGGACATTGTTATTTTTAAAGAACTTATAATTTCTTATAACAATTTTCTTTATTAATGAAGAGTTTATATCAGAGGTATCTAAAAGATTAAGGTTGCAGTCAAACATTATTTTAATTCTATTTGTTTAGCTTAACAAGCTTTTTTTTTAATCAACTTTGATGTTTTACACTGGTGCACTAAGGTTCTTGCACTGCATTCAAATATCATTTGAGATAGAGTTTAGGTCATCATTGTTTAAAGGTAATTTGAACTGTTAAAAAGTGACTTACTAGCAAGCACGAGGGGGTTAACTCTTTGGTATGGTAAGTATACCACTTGCCTGATGCTTGACAGGTTTTGGGTTCAACTCAGAGGTGCGAAAATGTATATATTGTAAAAAATAAACTACCAGAGGTTCATTCCAACTGATAATTCTGGTAATGAAAAAAAATCTCTTGGACAATGAGTTGTGTCAAGGAAAATCAGAAATATTAATTTTACACATATCTGACTTGGAGTCTCTGATACCATAATTGAAAGGACTGTAAGGAAAGATTAAAAAAGTCAGAAACACTTGCAGTTAATGATTTGAGCCACAGTTCTTATGCCTAAATCTACTTCTAACTTTAATACAGCATGATACCGAGAGTTTTCTAGAATTATTTTTAAGTTTGGGTTGACCAAGTGTTACAGTAATACATCTTTACACCTCTCACCTTCCTGTTTATCACTAGGTTTTCTTTTATTTGACTTTTCTTCTGGTTCCTTAATCTTCACATAAACTCCTCCACAAGACTTTTGGTGTTCTTCCCACCAGAAGTCTCTAGGTGCTGGTGGTCTATTCATTGCTCTACGAACTATTCCATAGTAGGGTGGCCTTTTCTGACAAGGACCCGTGCATCTCCACCAGTGTTGCCGATATTCATTGACTTCATCATGGAAATTATGATAAACCTGAAAATCAATACAAGACTATGCAATAGAGTTAAGATAGCAAAATATGCATATAGTAACTTGGACAAAAGAAAAAGACTAATGCTATCCTAAAATACCTTTATCTCCATATTATACAACCTTATAGCTTTGCAACTTTGTTAGGATTTTTAGTTTTCATACAACATGTATATTACCAAAAATGAGATCTTCTTTTTTCACATATCAATATACTTAGCTAATTACAGTAGTTGTATTTATGGCAAAGCTAATAAGGCTATCTGCCACCATTCATAATTTTAAACCACTGATCAGAGGGAAGGCAGCCAAACAGACATACCCTACTACACATGCTAAAGGATTGACTGCCACTCCTATAATGCACACACAGCTTAAAGTGCTGGGAATACTTTATAGTATTGCACAGATTTGAACCCAGCTTGCCAACTCCAAAAAACAAAAATCTATCACTGAGCCAATCCACTCTCAGTGAAGTACAGAGGGGACTAATATTATGTCAATCTTTCTTTTTTTGAGTTTGTATGGGAAAAAGCTATTATAGTCATATTATTATAGGAAAATACTTTCTATTTTCAAAGCACATCATTAAATTGTATAGAAACAGAATTCTAGTGTTTAGAAAAAAATCAATTCTACAATTCTGTATAGCACTTACAGTTATTTTGGCTCCTGTCAATAAATTAATTCTTGTCATGTGTTTGTGAAACTCTGGGCCATGAGAATCGTGATCCTGAATGGATAAAAACAAAGTTATTAACTTCACAAAAAAGACATTATTCTAAAAGAATTATCAATTTACAAAGTTCAAAATTATGTAATTATTTAATAAAACACAGGAGAGATAAATTGTTTTAATACTCTAGAAAGTTACAAATTATTCCTCCATGTATTTGGTATTTTCAACCCAAATGGTACTTTTTGCCATACACAGGCTAAATGCCAAGGTCAGACACACTAAGATTTAGGCATAACCGTTCTTAATTTAGAACTGTTGATAACAAGGAGGGAAGCTGATCAGCAGCACATACTGCCTTCATGGATCCTCTTAACTGAACAGTGGGATTGGTTAACATTTGGATCTACAGCCCTGCATGCTTGCCACTTCTGTGTAGTTAGGGTAAAGATCATGAAAAAAAAAAGCTAACATTCACTGGGCCTTTGTTAAGTTGTCATGTTCCGTAGCCAGTTAACCTAACTAGTCACAATACCTTAATAGCCAATCCAACACTTCAGTATTGGGGTTTTGTTCTTAATCACACGAGAGAACATACCCTCTATTAATGGAGAGTGATATCTAAAACTACAAACACAGAAGAACTTTAACTACCATTTACAATGTCTCTCTAACTAACAAACCACAAAATGTATTTTGAGTTTTATAACACATAACCAAGCAGTGTTTGCTGTGGAGAGTAAGTCAAATTGCACAACTTATAGTACTTGTTTACACAACTGGCAAGGAAAAACTGGGAGATTTCTCTTGATAATGTAAAAAACAAAGAAGATAAAAAGTATATAAGAAATGACATACCAACAGAACCATCCCTACCCACACCTTCTAGTTTTTATAACTTGTAAGTATGATTCATGCCTTCAAACAATTAAATTTTCTATGTTATACGCTACATCATTTTGCGTCTCAAAAAACGGAACATCAAAAGACACAAAAAATCTATAAAATCAAGATTAAACAAAATGAAATAATACAATATTTAACATTTAAAATGAAATATGGTAAGTGACAAGTGAAACAAATTTGAGTATTTTTTTAACTAGTGTATATAAAGAAAATTTTTTAACATTCCAATTGAAAAACACTTAATAAAATCCCTCAGAGAACTTAAACTTCATATTAACAATACACATATCTCAGCACAGACATGTATCTCACTAATAAGCCTTTAATAACTATATATTCTCACTTTAGACTTACAGATATGTTTGTTATAATTCACTAAACAATAATATACAACATACAGCTCACTTTTACACAGTCACATCAACCTTTTTGTATCATGTATATAATTTACTGAACACTGGCTCAGCATAAACACAAGTACGTAATTTTACACAGTATCAACCTACAGACTTACCTTATTGTTTTGGGTAACAAACAGATATGCATGGATCATTTCATGCTGGAAAAAAAAAAGAGATGGAGATTACCAAAACATTATGTTAAGTGCAGCCACACACAATATACACAAGTTAAAAGTAATTTAATATCTTAACCCTTTTGCGGTAGGCCCGTGCAATTTGCAGAAATCGAGTCGCAAATTTCACTTGTACAGCAATACATGTGGTAATTTCTTAATGTATTATCTCAAAAACTGGTAAGATTTTGTTAAAGATCATAAGTACCTTGTACACAAATAATGACATTATTATAATTTAGTGTTTTTACTAAAAATATGTTATTGAACTGAATGCAAGGCGACTTTCATTTTAAGCATAAAAATACTTTTTTTTCATTTTATACTTTTCATATTTCATTTGTATAATTTCTAGAACCTACTTAAAGGATATCAAAATTTTTTAAAGGTAAATGTTTATATTTTATTTTCTCTACAATATCACTAGCTCTAGCTATTATAATCAATCTATAATGTAATAAAATAATTAAAATTAGGAAGTAGAAAAAAATACATATCTTTTAATTTTTTGTAGAATATTTTTAAAGATTTTCCTTTTGTTAAATTCGTAATTTCAGGTCTTTTCCTTTTCATATATAGTTAATTTTTAATGTTTTATTTTCCTTTCTTGTTCTTTACCACTTATTATTCATCTTGACACAAGTCAACAGTGCCCTCAAGGCATATTACAGTTTCTTTCGGAGACATGCACAGCCCTTCAGCAAAATTTTCATTCAGCACATAATGGACGCAAAGTATGATGTATATTTGAAATATGTTTAAACCTTTTAATTATGTATTTTAAAATAAAACTAATAAATAATTAACTAAAATATAATAGTACGACCTAAATACAATTTAAACTGTTTCTCTAACTATAACATATTTATTTAAGAAATAACTGTAGGTGCTATAGTCAGTCAATAAAGCAGCCAACAATACTACAATCAATTACATGTAATCCGTGACGACAACTGCATGCCAATTTCAAAATACCCATTGTTAGATTATAGTGTAAAATGAGCTCTTTCTAATGAGTATACATGTGTATGTAACATCTACATGTAGGGTCTAAAGCTCAAACAAATCTGTTGCAGGTGGGCATGGTAGCTGTTAGGGGTTGAAAAAATTTATTACTTGTTTCAACTGTATTCATTCAGAGAACTTTTAAATGAATGAGTCCAAAGTTTATGTAACCATCTTATTGTCTAGACATACCTCTACTCAACTACCATTGTATTATTGAAGATACAGAAAGACAAAGTAGAGAATTTTCATAGCTCATTGGTCATGTGAGAATACATCTGAAATTTTATGTAGTTTTAAAGGTGTATTTCGAAATAAAGGACTTATAACTTGGATAAAATAAAACTTCAAATTATAACATACATTATGATATTAATTTTATTCACATTCATTGACAGTAAAGGTGTTTAATTAAATTTTTAAGGTAACACAGTGACTTGTGCAGAAAAGTGTTTAAAGGAGTTAACTGAAAACAAATATATATATATATATAAAACCAATGTTTACTTTTATGACCAAGTGTAAAGCACTAGAAGTCAAATATGCAAATTTTCGTTTTTATTGTTTCAATTTCTTGATCTTCATTGCTCTTCCTTCACAAACGAAAAAATATTTGGTAGCAGTAGCTTCACAATTTACAGCTGCACTAGTGACATATTGAAGCCAAACTATGTGTTTTACAACTGTGATTTAGCTCAGCAACTGGATAGCTACCCAACAATGTTCTAGTAGTTTTAGAGCTCCTGTAGTCTTCTTGTTTTATACAAAAGAAGTAATAATGATAAAATGAAGCTTTAATTTTTGATCAGTGAAAAATATAAATTTATATTTATGCATCATTAGTATAGTTCAGATCATAAATTTTCTACATAAAATATTTACAGTAATGATCAAGAAGTATTTGCTGTGGAAAGTAAGTTAAGTTGTGCAACTTATGATACTTGTAAATACGACTGATACTTAATCCTGTATGATTTGTTTGTTTTGAATTTTGCGCAAAGCTACACGAGGGCTATCTGCACTAGCCGTCCCTAATTTAGCAGTGTAAGACTAGAGGGAAGGCAGCTACTCATTACCACCCACCGCCAACTCTTGGGCTACTCTTTTACAAACGAATAGTGGGATTGACCATCACACTATAACGCCCCCACGGCTGAAAGGGCGATCATGTTTGGTGGGATGGGGATGCGAACCCGCGACACGCAGATTGCGAGTCGAGCGTCCTAACCACCTGGCCATGCCGGGCCTCCTGTATGATGTCATTAATTTCAACACTGGCCAGATGCCATACTACAGGAAGGTGATTTGAGTTAATATGAAGAAAGCATGGCTAGAACTTTTGGTGGACAAATGAATGAAAATAACATCCTTACAAATACCGTATTAAGTTAATTGTATATATAAAAACTGTTTTCAAGTCTTAAATTAATAAAATGTTTTATATACCTGTATACTTATACAGTAAAAGAAAATAATAATTACAAAACAAACATTTCAACAATAGACTCTAGATATTTGGTGAGAAATTATCTCGGGTCCAGCCTTTCAAAAATGCAAGTTACACGTGCACTGAGATTTAGAATATTGATATATGCTATAATATCACCTGATGTCTTGGCTGGTAACAAAAAAAAAAAGTTGATGCACATAAAGAAATACTGGAAGTGTTTACTTTTTATAGAGGACAATATAAACAATAATCCAAAATCAAGATGGCTGCCAGATAAACTGTGATAAACCAATAAAAAAGCATAAAAAACATAAGAGCAAAACTTATGAGAAACTTAAGAAACAATATCATAATACTTCCTCTAATTTTTTGCATCGATAACGTTTAATTTCCCCAACTTAGAAAATAAATTGCCTAGCTCAGAATTTTTGGTTTTGATAATTGGTCTGTTTACAACAACCTCTGATCTCCATTTTACAATGTTTACTAACAAATGCTCAAGCCACATTAAATCTTACATAACAACCATGTACATAATACATTTGATAGATAAGAAATACACACATGCAAAGAATATAATATCTAACATTGTAAGAATATTAAAAACAAAATGTACCAACCAGAAGAGTTTGAACCAAGTCTTTTCGTGGTCGTAGTTTCAAAAGTGGTGTGCTCAGTCGAATAGAACACAAACCTCCCCTTCCTTCATAAGAACATAATCCAGCACATCTGTGAAATAAAAATATTGTATGTTTATTGTTATAAAACTTCCCCCAACCAGCACTTATGATACCTTACGAGTTAATCTTTCATGTAGTAAATGATATTTTATGTTTTACATCAGTTCTTGTTAATGTTGTAGCTTCAGAAACATAACAGTATACAACCTTATTTTGTCAATAATTAGTGGACAGAATCAATACAGTATTGCTAAGTGTGTGTGTGTCTGTTAGAAAATAATGGTGCAAGGGTAAAAAAGACATCACTATTCTGAGTAATATTTTACTAGTATGTGCAGATGTAAGAATGTTATAGGCTTTCTGCAAAAAATATGGAATATATATATATAAGCTTTGGGTCTTGCATTATCTAATATTACTTTCAATAATATTTAATATTTGCCTGTTTTACTCTTAAAATACTATGATTCTTTACCTCAGGAGGAAAAAAACAAGGTATCAATAATAAATAAATTGGAACTGTTGTGTTATTATGTAGTAACACAGTTGCTGAGCTTTAAAACATTATATATGGGATCCACTTTGCTAATCATTATGTATTTAGAAGTTCTTTATGTACTTCAGCAATATCATATGTTGAGTACATTTTCTTGAAATATATGTGCACTTTTTCTCAACATTTCCCAAAATTTCCTAGATGTAAGATGTTAAAACTATATTCCACGATGCATCCACATAATTGCAGACAGTAGTAATAACAGGTGATTTTATATTTTAGCAAATTTTAATTGGATTACAGTAGGGCAAATTAATTTTGTGTTAATGAAAATTGCACACAGTCTACAACTGTCATATTGTGCTGCATTTAATTTAACTTTGGTTGGATTTAAAACGATTGTGTTATGGGTGTAGAATGTGTTTCATATTTTAAGGTGATCTTCTTATCATGAAATTAATGTTTTGTTCATTTCTGACAGGTCATATTGTTTAGATTTGGTTTTCATATATGTAGCAGGAGATGTACAAGGTAAAAACTTTAACCCAGGAACTTTTGATAACACTTGAACATTAACTCGTAAATGGCCAAGTAATCTGAACTCAATCAAAATATGTAGCAAATCAAAAATTACCATAAATGCATTATTTGTGATCATGTGGAACCATTATTAGCTTTTTTTGTTAACTCAAGTCAAATCAAATAAACAGAATCAAACATAATATATATATAACCTCTATCTCTTAATATAGATTCATGCAAATTTGTTAGCTTTCTTTGATAAAAATTACACATACACAAAAAAAAGATAAATACAGATCTTGTTTAGCTATTAGATATACCACAAACACTAACAGGTTAACCTACAGTCTTTTATACCTGAACATGATACTCACAGAGACAGTTTTCAAAACTTTGTTTTACATAAGACATTTTACTTTAAAAAGAGAGCAAGCATCAGTGAATTGCCTTCAGTGTCAGTGACTTGTTTTATGATACTATGGTTTCAAAGTGTAGAAGATGTTTAATTAATGCTTACTTATACATTTCCCCCCTTAAAACAGCTTTAAAAAGTTAGCCCTTGTTATGAAAAAGTTTAATTAATATTCTTTCTGTTTTTGATAAAAAAAAAGCAATTTTCTATATAGATAAAAAAGTAAGACAATGCTGACAGGAATCTAGTTTTATGTCTTGTGTGTACAGATGTAAGATGATTTTTGTTCTTGATCTCAATTATACTCACTTTATTGTCTAAGATAACACATTCTATGTCACTGTAATTACAAGCACTCAGTGAGAAATTCAGCGTAACAAAATTCAGTGAAGACAAATTACCAACAGCTGATGTAATAATGGTATGAAGCAAAAACACATCCTACAATTATAATTTTAGATCTACTTAGTTTTTGGATTACTACTCAGTATATTTGCAAAATTAATTCATAATCTGTTAATACTTGAAACAGTTCGAACAATTCTTGAGTTCAATACAACTTATAAGCACTTATTTCATGTTCTGAAAAATCTTGGTAACACATGGTACTAGAATGGCTTACACTATAAAATAAGCAATTAAAAAAAGAGAAAGGTCAAAGTTTCTGCATTGTTCAAACCTACAGCATGCACACAATATATATGTCTGTAAAATAAAAAACAGTAAAACTTACTCACAATGACTATTAATAAGAGCTTCTGTGTGAAAGTAAAGAAGAATAGATAATGTCTACCACACAATATTTATTATATCTAGTGTTGATGAGCAGTCCCACCGAGAGGGCAGTGAAGCAAGGGAAAATTTCCTGGAGCCCACTGTCACAAAGGAGACTTGGGAGAAAGTAGAGGTGAAACTGATTGTGAGAGAGGGCCCTACATACCAATCATTCCCTGTGGCCCATGAAAGCTCTTGGTGGCTCTGCTGATGAGGCCTTTTACCTAATTAATATCAGAGCTTTTCAGGTTACCTGGTATATAACAAACAAAGTAGTAGTTGAGATGTAAATTGCCTTACAACAACTGTTACAGTGTAAACTGAATTAATGTGGTGGACTGCAATTATTACATCACCCCACCCCAACCAATGATTCCAACATTTTGACTTAAAAGTTTTTATTGTTAACACCCCCCCCCCCACCTCCCTTGAAAATAAATACTGTGATCAAATATTCTCTGAGCAGATGATTGTCTTCACAATATTCACACTCATTGCTCAACATGATGAACACACCACATATGCCAATAATGGTATAATTAACACCAAGAACAGAGCTACATCACACCACAGTATAACATAAAATTATCAAATTGAAGAAGGGGGAGTTAGGGGTCTTTGCAAGAAATACTAATGGTGCATTTGTTGAGAAAAACTTTTTTTGCATTTTTAAAAACAAAAAATTTGGTATGATTTTCTTTAACATTTTAAATACAAAATTTAAGATTTTCTTTGCTAAAATGCAACCAGATATGTATTATTGCAATATAATGGTTTTCAATATCATGTACATGAACACTGAGTCTGGTAATACCATAAGTATAAAATTTGCTAAAAAACACTCCACAAAATGCAAGAATATGTACAATTCATGTGATAAACAGACACAGACTTAACTAATACAATTGGTATAGTACACCTGCTTTGGATCATAAGGAGAAACATCTACATACAATGTCATACGTGGGCTCCATCTAACTTCTACTCCTTGTAATCTTCCCCAGAAATAGGTATCGTTAAATTCAAGAAACAGACCATGGATGTCTGGATTTGGGTCATTCACTTCCCAAAACTCATCCACAATTGACATACTCTCCTTACTATGTTTCTTCTTTTTTGAAGCAAAATCCTGTAAACAAAAGTGCACCAAACTTATTAATGATAAATATCTTCATATATGTAAACATCTATCTATCCATTAATATTTCATAACTATATTAATTACTTACATGAAATATATTTTTGTCATATGAAAAAAAAATTCAAAAATTTCTCCTAATGGATCACTGTTTATTAAATTAGGGAACTCTACCCCAAATACCTTACTCTTTTGAATGTTGCTTTCTCATAGTATATTTCACAATGGCTTAATTTGATTTAAAATAACTCTGACCTCAAGAATTTACAAAACTTGAAGCAACTGATAAAGTTGTCACTTTGAACCAGAGGGGAATTGAAAATAAAAGCTCAAACTGAAATTATGATTTTATCATGCTTTTATTAATTTATTAAATATCATGATATTCTTAAACAGATTTATCATGTTGTACCCTTGACTTGGGTTTTTAGATCTCATCTGTGTAAGTAGCTTGCTTTGATCAGTAAAAAATCTTAACCATTAGAATATGACATCTAAATTGCATAACCAATGGTCTATTTACTATACAATTTCATCATTATAAAACCTGTTGGAAAAAGTAATTTCTAAAAATTGATAATCTACACCAGTTTTGGTTGTCACTACATGGATTTTGTTTTCTCGTTTTCAAAAGTGTCTTAATACTGACTTTCAGTACATCCATAAAATAAAACATCCAAGTATATGCAATACTACTTTTCATGAAACATGCACTATTGGCTATTAAAGATAAACAATTTCAAACTTGTAAGATAACCTTATCTTATACCTTTGTGGTTTTTTCATTATATTGATAGTTTAGCTGTTGTGCTGCCTCTTCATCGTATTTAGCTTGAAGCTGAAGAGCAAGGGCAAAATCTTCATCCCTATACATATCTAAGGTATTAAAGGAAAGATACGTAATGACTTTAGTGAAAGAGATATGAAACAAAAGACAACAGCTGAGGTCTTAAATAGCAAATAAGTCCTTAAAATATTTAGCTTTAACAAAGTTAAAACTAATAACATCAACACATAAATAAAATCATTTAAAAAAGGGTAAAGTAAAATATCAAACCATGCTTATGATGCTGTCTTCATAAAGATTTTCAATTTCACAAGTTTCATGACTTCTGTGTCATCACGAGTATACATGCAAATCGACTGTCCTAAAATCTATGTTTATGTGTTATTTTAGCACATAATTTTGAATTCTTTAGTAACTTAATTTGCATTTCTGACAAAGTAAATAAAGAGCAGCAAGTCAACTACACATAGAGTTAGCACTCAAGTAAAAATCTCTCTCTTTAATTGACTGTGATGCATAGTTTGTAAGATGTAACCATATACATAATGGTGTATAACCTACAAGTTAAATGATGCAAGTAAAGGGTTTTGACTCAACCAAATGACAAGATTCAGTTTCTAAATATATGAAGTGTAAGATTTATGCCTATAGTAACAGCAATAAAAGGTTATTTATCAATAGTTCCTTCCAATAAAAGTTAAATAAATTTATAAATGTGTGTACAATAGAATACCAAAAATAAACTCTGTGATACTTTTAAGATTTTAGGTTTAAAATTACTCACACACACAAAAAAAACCATGTATATGTATTTTATCAACCTCAGATTTAGATTGTTTTTTTCACACGTTTAATCTTTTTTTTTTGTATAATTAGCTTGTCTCAATAAGACTTTTGACAACAACCTATGCTTTGCATGAATAGCTCACCTTTTTTGTCATTCTGATTTATGTAACTTTCATGTTTGGGTGATTTCTTTCATAAGTCTAACCAAAATTATAAGACAAGTTCAAATAACTTTAATTTGATTTTATAGCCTTTAAGGCCCCTTAAATACTGCTTGAATTAGATCTTTAAATCATTTTAAAATTACATATTTCTATAGCAAAAAATAAATCATTACAGAAAATTCAAACAATTACTAGTTAATATCACGGCCAGATTGCTTTCTTAGTTTTAGGTAATACAAAAGTAAGTTTCAATTTTATTTCAAACAACCTTGTTAATGTCTCCACCAAATCACAAATATGATTTCCTTTCCTTCATGTATCACAGTACTCTAGTTCAAAATACAGAAATCTTTATCTGTTGAAGAGAGGAGAATCTGTGTTAGTCTCCTCAGGCTCAAGTGTATATTAGAAGTAAAAGTATGAAAACCCTCTTATATACACTAGATACCTGGTGTTAAAAAAGTTACATAAAAATTACTAATAATAAAGTAAAAATTAAAACTGGTTTCTGCCAGGCTAGTTGCCTCCCTGTAGTGAGTGGTTTGGAATAGGGATAGTGCACTGTTACCTGGACTGCACACTGAAAGATGTGCTGTTATGGGACTCTAACATTTAAAAGGCCTGTGTTAAATTCATCTAGCATATAGTTAAACAGTATTTCATAAATTACTCACTCTTAAAAAATTAGTGATTCTATTAAAAGAAGAGCATGTAATTTCCACCAAAATTTAGTTTATTTAGTGACTCTTTGGTATTTCAATTTTGAGTATCCATGTTAACAGTGAGATTACTTGAGGTTTTCATTACTACGAAAACTGACCAAACTACTAGCAGAAGTATAATGTAAAGTAAATTTCTTTAACATTAGTGGTTTCTCAGATATCACCACAGATAATGTGTTTTTATTTTTAAACACATGGAAGACAAATTCATAAAACTCCACTGTTTATTTACAAAATATACATATAATTCACTAGTAGGCAGTTGAAATTTAATCAACAATATTTTGCCTTCTCTTACACGCATGTTATCAAAGTACAGCCCATGACAAACGTCCAAGTAATTTTTATATTTTACGTTATGTTACAATATTCTGATTTGCTATATAGTAATAGTATAAATTATTTAACTTCTATCATAATATGACTCAAAACTCGAAAAAAGTGAAAAGATTACGAATACAATTCTATGAGTAATGTTAATAATTTACTAATAATGTTACAGTCTTATACGCTAATCTTATTATAATCTATATTGAATTAGCTTAAATTTTTAAGTTAACTTAGTTTAACTTTGTAAGTTCGGAAAATATTTATATTAGTTTAACACACACAGAGATAAAAATGCTTCAGTTCAAAATTATAAACCAATTTCACGAAATAAATTAAAGAATGTTACCGTTCGAGGAAAATGATGTTTGATATTGATGCAAAAATTTCAAAAACAGCGAAATATATACACATATGTAGTATTACTATTAGTAAAACTATTCAACTACACGAATCGTGAAAGTGAAACCAGTCTCAACATCTTTCAAACGCAAAAATCCGCCACCTAGAGGACATATATGTATATTTCACGACTAGATGGTGCTTAAACGGGATAATCTTTATTTTCTTAATTTTATCACGATTTCAGCTCTGAAGTGCCCCCAGTAGCTTTGCGCTTAACAACAAATAAACAAACAAAAAAACTTTTGGAGTTTCAATTAAAGTCTATGAAATTGGCGAATTTATTATTTTTATTTTGCATATCTATCAAACAATTTTCAATAACTTCGGCTAAATCATATCTATAATATAATCGAAAACAAAAACGAATGGAAATTATACCACACAATATAGAAAACGAAAATGTTTTGGCTCCAGATGCCCTTCTTCGGGCGATTTTGAATTTTGTCATTATGACGTTCCATGAAAGCGGCTAGAAGGTGGGAAAATTGCAAAATTTATCTTAAAATTAGACCTTCAGGTGTGTTGTTTTCTTTTGTACTTTTCGAAATGTTTTTTTTTTTTTTCATGTTTTAGCAGCAATTTATTGCAAATTAAGCATCAACAAATAAGTCGAACACTTTTCTCAATATGTCTCTGAATGATAATAATTATATTCACCAATTAAAGTTTTCCATTTTTTTGTAAGAAATATTCAATAATGATAAATCTATTGATGTGTTTAAAATGTTGACATACCGAGGGTTGGGTAGTTTACATTAAAACAATTTCGAATATGCAGATCAGCATGTCACGTCAAAACCACAGCCGAACTACATTTTGATAATATTTGGCGTGCGTAGGTAGTATGATGTCACTGAAAAGTATTCCGTTTTGGGAAAAGCATTTAACAGCCCTTCCGGATGCAAAATATTGTTACGACAGCAGAGGCACGTGACTCTAGTAACACGCCACGCGCTTCTAGAACGTTCATGAAGCGTCGGGAGACTATTAGATATGGGGTAGTCTTGTATATATAAGACCGGCCAAGAAGCGACGGGGAACAATGTGTAATTGAACTGCGGACAGAGTATTGTTGAGTTGAGCACGTGAGACGTTCGTTGTGAATTATAGCGTTTGTTATAGCGCGACTGTGGAAATTAAGTGTATTGCAAATTTGTATTCAGAAAGAATAAACCAGTTTTATTTAAGAAAGGACTTGTGTCGCTAAAGTTTCATCGGAAAGAATTTTTACGGAAAATTAACTAACGAACCGAGGCGTAACAATATTCATACACTCAAACCATAAACATGTGTTGGGGCCGGGAATTTCAAGACAGGAATATCCTTTGTACTTAATGGGATTGGAAAACAACTTTGAACCCAGAACCATCTATAATGAAACTTACAACAAGTCTTACCACAGCCATGGTAATAAAAGTCTGGCGTTTTGTAACTGATGAGAATCCACGAACACAAAGGTCAGTGGCAAAAGCCATCTATGTGACCCAGGCAACATAATGAAGAAGGATCTCTATCTGGAAAATAGACAGAAGTTGTTTCACAACATATCTGTTTAACCATTGCAAACTTCAAGCAACTGTAGAGCTACTGTTAAGATGCACAGTCATGAGATCGAGTATGACCAGACTTGATGACGTGGACTCTAAGGAAGTGATCAATCTCCAAAATCATTTTAATATAATGTACTCAACCTCTGTACTTCAACATTACAGTAGGCCTAGTTTAAATTATGCATTAATTTCTTATTCAAATAATTAAATATGCAAATAGATACCCATACATTATAAATGAGAATCTGATGGAAAACAGACATATTACGAATTTAAAAAAAATAACCCATTTAAAATATATTGTTACGTCTCTGGTCGTTTTTAATTACTCGTAAAAATTCTTTCTGAAGAACTTCAGCGATACAAGTCCTTTCTCAAATAAAACTAGTTTATTCTTTCTCAATTCAACTTTGTAATACACTTAATTTCCACAGTCACCTTAACTTCAACACACGCTATAATTTACAACGAACGATTCATGACTTTACTTACTACCGCGCTTGACTCAATTGTCCGTCTATATCTTCATTCTCTCTGTCTGCTATTCAATCCCGATTAATTGTCTGGCGCACTTATATAGAAGAATAGAGTGCGCCTAGCAAATACTGGATTATTCGTGATATTCTCCGATCTTTCTAGAACTTATTATGTGTTACCAGCGTCACGTGACTTCCGCTGTCGTAACAATATGGTATTTACAATGATATTTTTATGATGAAATTTAGTCACATCTAATCACCTCACATGACGTAAATAAATTATCTTTACATGTATCATTCATTGACCACAGTTTCTGCTTCTCTAACTTCTGTTGCTAGGTTTACTTGTGATTTGTTATTTGGGTCCGAGATGCAGAAGTAGTGCATCCTGATTGTGGCATTCAGCTTTGCTGTTGTTTAGGGTTGGTTAATTGAAACACGCCAAAACCAATCTTAGTTTTTTTCTACATCTTTGGACTCTCAGCTGTGCTGTTTTGACTTGGAAAGCCCAAATTTTTTTACTAAAAACCTTTGTAGGAAAGTATACAAAAGACCTCTGAGCTGTTCCGTTTTCGACACTACAGAAACATCTGGTGTGCATGAATGTCTTTCTTGTCATACCAAGAATCTTTAAATGTACACAATGTGTGAAATGACATTAATTTACCTCTGAGAACTGTACGACTCTAAAGATACGTTGGTATTTAAATAGACCATGGGTTTATATTTTCTTATAGTATGATAATATTTATTTTTCGTTTTGAATATGTGCAGGTTTCACACAACAGGTGGTCGAGAAAACCATTAAGTTAATCATTTCAAGTTACCTTTGTTATTCTCAAAGAAGGAAATATTCATGGAGAACATTGCTTTATGCGACCTTATGTAAGGATGTTGACACCAATGTAGTTCTATGGTTATTCAGATGATTAGTTTTCTTTAAATCTAAGAAACATTGGATTTGGCAGTCTGGAGATAATCTTAACTGAGAACGTCCAGTAAAAGTGAGTCTGACACACATAAACCATAAATACAGATATTATGTTTATATATATCATTTAATAAATATTGTACAGTTTATTTTACACTTACATCCAGTCTCATTATTCCTTAAAACACTGACTCAGTAAAGTAAGACTTGTACAAGTGACATAAATAAAAGATATTCATATATGTGTCTTTTCTAATATCTGACAATGTAATATTGGTTGTGGGAAATAAAAAGGTTTCTAATTAAAAATGTTAGGTTTTAAAAAAATTCAAACTGTTCTTGTTGCAAACTCTGACACTTAAGCCACCTTGTATCAAGTTATAATGAACTCCGTTCTAATCCAGTGCAATAGTTCAACACTGAAAATTGAAGTTACTCGAATGGTCTCTCTTGTAGTCCTGACAGATTCATTCACTTCACGTGCCAAGCATTTCACAATTGTAAGGATGTTAGTGTTCTGCTCTTCATATGCTATGCATTGCAAAATCATAAGAACATTAGTGTTCTGTTAAGTTCACTTTTTTCATATGCTATGCATTGCACAATCATATTCTACCACACTCCTTTCATATGCCAATTATTGCACAATGGACCATAAAGAACATCAGTGTTCTGCTACAAATTTTTCATATGCCATATATTGCATAAGTATAAGGACATTAATGTTCTGCTAAATTCACTCTTTTCATATTCTATACATTGCACAATTATAAGGAGATCAGTGTTATTCTACACTCCTTTAATATGCTAGGCAGGTATTGCACAATCATAACAACATTAGTGTTCTGCTAAATTCACATCCTTTATATATGTCAGGTATTGTACAATTATAAAAACATTAGTGTTCTACTACAGTCCTTTCATATGCCAGTCATTGTACAATCAATTTTAAAGACATTTTTCAGCTACACTCCTTTCATATGCCATGTATTGCACAATCGTATGAATATTAGGGTTTTGCTAGATTTATGCTCTTCATATGCTATGCATTGCACAATCATAAGGATATCAGTGTTCTGGTTCCGATGTGTATTCTGCTAAAGCATTTTTATGCAAAAATATTACACTGACATAGAGTTTCAGTGCAAACTATTTAGTTTACTGTATTAATGTTTTGAAAACACTATTTGTAATACAAATCTATTTAGGTCATGAGAAAGTAAAAAAAAACGTACATTTCACAATGGAAAATTACTAATATATTTTATTACCAAAGAATGACACAAGAAAAATATTAAATCAGGAAAATCTTTTTAAACAGAAATATACAATAATTTCAAATATAAGCATTTTTAGAAATTTGTAAATAAAACTTTTCTTTTGAAAATGGTGTTTCCCCTGGTTCATTTACATTTTGAGTACTGTGTTCAGTCTTGGGATCCTTACCTTAGAAAGGGCCTTGAATTATTGTAAAGAATTCATAGGAAGGCTACTAGGATGATAACTGGGATGGAAAGGTTGTCATAGGAGGATAAGTTAGGATATCTGAACTTGTTTTCTCTTGAAAAAATAAGAGATGGAGGGGATATAATTGAGGTGTTTAGGATTGTTAAGGGAATTGATGGTATTGATGTATCATTTTTTTATATAATGGTGGGAATGGTAAAACTAGGAGACACAAATATAAATTTTGACAGAGCAGGAATCATATCTTCAGTTAAGTAAGCTTCATTTTTCTAATAGGGTGATTGGACTTTGGAATGGCTTGCCACCATGTGGTGGATGCAGTTAATTGAAGAGAGTTTTTTAGTGTTTAATTAAGTGAATAGGATGGCCTAGATGGATCAAAAGGAGTATTGTTGTTCTTTAATGTTATGTTATTTTACTGCTACTGAAAAATAATTATATGCTAAAGAAAATGTACAGCTATGTTGTTTGTCAGTCACTGTTCATGATGCAGAGTTTAATTACAATTCACAGATTGATGTTTTAAAACGTTTTTTTGGGCTACATGAAAATTTTTTTGCAAGTAACTTTTCTTTCCAAGCTAAAGATGAATGACACCTAACTAATCAAAGGTAGGTAAACAATGATGACATTTCAATTTACAGATGTTTGATTTCACCCATTAATAATTTAACTGTATTTTCAGTCACGATTTAAGACAAACTTTTCAGTTTGATGCTGAAAGTAATAATCTTTCATACCACTTCAGTTTTCATACAATGCACTTGTCGGTTAACTGTTTCAATACTGTTCAAAAACCAACATAAGCTAAGATGATGAGGAATGTCAGCATGTTCAAGGCACATCTGTAATCTGACTGTCTTCAACCTGCCTCGTTGATGGGAGATAGACCTTGAAGGAAAAATCTGTGTGTGGAAAAGAACCCTACAAAAAAACAATGCGATATGATTTTATATAATTAATTCTTTACCTGATCATTATATTTGTGATCTACATCAATGGGTAAAATTGATCTTTACCACTCAGAAAAATAAATGTTCTATCATTTAAAGTCAAAAGTGGCTGACATAAACAGAAACATGGGATACATTTTTAACTTCTTTCTTCTTCTTTATTATTATTATTATAAAGTACTAAAGTCATAACTCTAATCTAAAACAATGTTTGTAAATTCCAATGTAGCTAATATGTGGATTTCAATTAATATCATTACCATTGCTTTTGTTTAAAGTGTACAAACTATCCAGGTATTAAAAAATAAATAAATAATGACTATGAAGAACAAGCAATCTTTCATAACCTTTCCTAATTTTTTTAAATACAGTAATGCAATTTACAAAACACATCTAGTTTCTTTGTTTTCTATGCAACACGAATATACAGGGTGTCCAAAAAGTATTTTTACAATTTAAAAAATTTATTATAAAGGCAATGGATAAGATATCTTTATCAGACTTGTTCTATTGTACTCAGTGGTTTTCAAAGTTTTTTAAACCTCATTTAATACATCTCTATATTGGCACCATTAGTCCCACGAAGCACATCAAGACGGTACTCGATTTCTTGCCATGTTCGCTGTAGCATAGCCTCATCAATGGTTGCAATCGCATCTGTTATCTTTTGCTTTAGTTCAGTAATGTCCTGTATCTTTGATCGATACACGATATCTTTAACATAGCCCCATAGAAAGAAATCCAGAGGTGTGATATCTGGTGAACGTAGCGGCCACGGAATTGGTCCATCCCTTCCAATCCAACGGTCTGGAAATGTTTGATTGAGGAACTCACGAACATGCAGTCCCCAATGTGGTGGGGCACCATCTTGCTGGAAAATGATGGTCTGTTGAAGGTCCTGGAGTTGTGGTGCCACATATTCAGTCAAAAGGTCAAGGTAGACATTTGCAGTAATTGATCTCTCGTTGAAGAAAAATGGACCAATAATTCGATTGCACATAATCCCACACCAAAAATTCACTTTGGTTTTTGATT